CGTCTGTAATAGGTATTGTTGAGTCCGCCTAGCGCTTAGCGAGTCGACAAATGACTTCTGTATTCTGTCAGCGAAATGAATAACGTCGCGCACGGCGCGTTACCGGCATTACATATAGAGCGCGCGAACATTTGCCAAGATCAGCCGAAAAAGATGGCCCGGGATGCTAACGCTCTCCGCGCCGCCCTCGGCATATTGAAAGGATTGCGCTTTTATGTGAAAAGGAGATTTATTATCGGGGAAATCCGTGTTACCGAGCGTCGCGTATCGAGCGCGAAAGTTGCCATCGTCAAAGACCCTGTTTGCAAAGGAGTGAACGTCACGTGGTATCCGGCCTCGAGAAACGCTTTTTCCTCGATTCTCCTTAACCATCCCTGAGGAAAGTGTCGTTCGTGATACTCGACCATTTTGGGATATTGTTACAGTGATGCGTGAATCAATACGTATAAAAAATAACCGATATTTATATTTTTATCTTAAAAATATACTTTAATCGATCAAACGTTTTATACATAAATAAAAGGCAATGCAAAAATATCAAGAAAATATATAGTTAACTGCGTCATCCTTTATTGCATATTCCGCCTTAATTCAGCTAAATAATTTTCTATTAAAAGTAAAAAAAATTGTTAGACTTGGATTATTTGTAATACTCGACTATTTTGAGGTATTGTTACAGTTATAGATTGAATCAATATTTATAATAGATATCCAACGTTTCGTCGGAAAAAATATACTCTAATCAATCAAACTTTCTATAAATAAAAAAAAAAATAAAGAAAAATTGAGATGTACATAGACAACTATATCATTCTTTATAGACATTCAATCTCAAATTAGATCGACTGAAATTCATTTCTTTAAAAATATCTGTATCTGATAAATGAAAAAGAATAAATACAAAATTATATCAGAAGTAAAAAGGAATACTTGGACTTCTGTCTTTCCACTTTTCAAGATCTCAATTTTGAATTCATTACTTATTTTTTGTTCTGAAGCAAAGAATATGTTTTTAAAATATTTAAACGTTTAAAAATATTTTTCGCTATAAAAGCCAGACTTTCTGTTAAATAAATCGTTAAACGAGAAAAGAGGAAATTCAAATCAGTTTGAGATCGCGGCAAACGTTTCGTGTTACTTCGTTCTCGAAACGTTCTCGAAGGCAGGCATCGCGTATAACAATAGCTGATAAAAATCGATTAAACTGAGAACGACGGCTTTGCAGATCCAATTCGCGTATGCTAATGGGATCTAATCTCCGTGTCTTTTTTGCCGAACGTACAATCGCCGAACCGATAATTCCGCGTTATCTCAAATAATTTGCTATTACGTAACATCGCGTGTTTAACCGATTTTATTTCAAATGACTTTTACACCGTGCTTTCACCTACGATCTTTGTCAAAAGTAATCACTAAACCAGAAAAATATTATGACGGTTTCATTGTTTTATTGCGTGAAACAACATTTTTTCGTATATATTTATTTCTTTTATTTAAACTCTTTTTCCTTCGCTTGCGCATTGAAAAAATACTGATAGCCGATTTTTCTATATTTCTTTACTTTACAGTAATTATTTTTCCGAATTTAATTTATCCTGTGATATATCAAGAATTACTGTAAATAAAAACTGTAATTATTTACGCAATCAATATTCATATCGCAATATTCTGAAAAGTACGTAAAAATTTACATTATTAACATTGACACTTTCATCTGAAACATCGTTACATTATTTTTAAAAATTGAAGGTACATGCAAAACATATTTAAACATACACATATATCTTTTAAAAATACAGAGATTTTTAAATCTTATTATTTAAAATGTACAACGCGTATCTATATCTTCCTCTCTTGGAAGCTAGTAAAAAATCAATTAACTAATAAAATTATCGCGTATGTGCATATTTAATTACGAACGAACGAGTGTAAAAGTTTTCCCATATTACATTCGGATTAGCCGGTTTAAATCGAAGCCAGAAAAGGTTCCATTGTCCTCGTTCCATTGCTTTTAAATCGTGGCTGAATATTTCTCTGTGTATTCTTTAATGAAGATTCTGTCGGGTTCTTCTAACGCTTATTTTACGCCATTCATAAGAAATTCACGAAGGCTTGGCGCGTCTGCTTTTTCGCCGTCTTTACAATTGAAGTGTATTTAATGTGAGCTTTATTTTTTCTCGTAAACGATGCATTTACGACAGCAATACTTTTAGTTGCAGTCTGCATTTTTCCTTGAGAGAGAGAGAGAGAGAGAGAGAGAGAGAGAGAGAGAGAGAGAGAGAGAGAGAGAGTATCCTTTACCATATTTCTCTTATTATACACCGGTTAATTTAGCTTTGTGCGCTGCGCATGCATCAAGTTACATATTTAAATTATTACATAAAATAATTATATTAAATTAAATAATTGTATAAAAACAGTGAGATAAAGTTTATTCATAATAGTTATATTTCCAATATTACCGAATATAGAGGACCAATCAAACCGTAAATTAGTCGGTTTTGAAAACATTCATAACTTTTTCAATAAAAATAGTATAACAATAGCATTCAAAACAATCATGTATTTAAAGCGTACGTACGTAGAAACAGTGCAATTACGAATATGCAATCATGTAATGTAATATTATTTTATTGAAATAACATTCTGTTTACTAGAAACATTTTATAGTCTGAAAACAGCGCAATATTTAATGTTGTTCAAACAATTTTTCAGTTTCTCGTCGCATTATCAATTCGAATGAAACAAGTGTTTACAAAACGCGTCGCGTATTTTTAAGAATTTAAAAGTGTTATTTCGTTGTACATTTTATCTTTCGTGTCCCGAAAACGACATCGATACCTCTTGTCGGACCCATAAACGCGATCGAACGGAAGATTTCGCGATAATCTACTTTCTCCGCGGCGACGGGCTTCCAAAGGAGCCGAAGCGAAAGTAAAGCCGTACGTGGCGTTCGCCTTTATCTCTGGACGTAAGAAAAAGAAAATAATGTAGTCGGAATTTGCGCTGGTCGGCGGTAGCGGCGGCCCCGGTCGTCGTCGTCGTGCTATCGGGAAAATTTTAAATCACGCCCGAGATAATCGAATTCCACCGCCGCGCGGGAAGACGCACCACGCTCACCCGGACGTTATTCACCCTTTAATGGTGAATTCGCACCCTCGTCCCCAACGTCCTCTCTCTCTTCCCTTTCTCTTTTTCCCATCGGCGCGCCATTTACGCATCGCTGCTACGGGCGTTCGGATCCGATCTCGTAAAGAATGCAAAGGCACCCCCTGGAGAACACCCCCGGACTACGTTTCCCGGACCGTATCGTCCGTAAATTCTATCGTCCATCCTGATTCCGCGCTGCGGCGAGAACCGCGCGATCATCTCATCTCCATCACCAACGCGTCGCGTCCTGGTCTCCACTACGTGCCGACGTTCCAGTCGTAGGAGTTACGGGGTCCGGCGAGACGGTGCGAAGGGATATCGATATTTATTGGCTTACCGTACGTGTCCTCGATAGATAACTGTCAGATAAGATCTTGGAGACTATTAATTATTAATCAACGTATTATGTATGTTTATTGTATCTTTCGGCAATATTCGACAAAAATATATGTGGGGAAGGAGCGTATTAAGCATGTATCAATCACGATCGTGTGTATAAACCTTCTTCCTCCAGCTTGTAAACAGTAGGACCACATTGGTTATTCTACATCTATGTATTGGGATTGTCTTGTATTAACGTAGATATTTGACATCGGTATGGATGTCAAACATCTATATCAATACACCGACGATATTGATCTAGATGTTTGACATAGCTGTGTATATGCTTTAGATATCCATGTTGCAAACATTATTATGGCGAGTCTCGGTCGTCCGAAAAAGCATTCGGTATTTATTCTGCTATTTATTTTGCTGCGCTCTATTGATCTTTTGTTCGCTAAGTATACAGAGCACCCCGAATTGATATGAACTCTCGCTCGCTTGAATTAAATTCGGAATAATTTTACATGAACCATGGAAGAAACAGGGATAAAATTTAACGAAGCTTATTAACATCCACTTTATAATCAGTGGTTGTTCGGTTTAAAATAATTATCCGTTTATCCGTACTAATTTATATCGACCTCCGACGATTTGCGTCATGCGCGTAGATAATGAGGAATTAAATTGCGCAATCGCAAACAAAAAGGATTTGACTTTTAACAAGATGCGCGATTATTGTTATATCCTTCCATCAAGTATAATCTTTTAAAGAACGGACAACCGAGTAGGAGCGGAAGATCATTATTTTACGACTAAAGCTCGGATGGACTACATCCTCTCAATGCAAGCCGACGAACTCCGACCGAGCGACCGAATATCTCGTCTCTATATCGACGAGAGTTCTCTCGTTTCTCTCTCTTCCTTCCTTTCGGCAGCTCGTCGTCGATTCGCAAACGGGTCTAGAAAAATGGCCATCGGATTTTCTATTATCCCGATAAACATCTCACGATGGTTCCGGGTTTGTCAATAGCGCGATGGTGTATAATACAGTTCGAAGCTTTCGACGAATCCTCTTTAGTAGTAAGTGAAGGCAAATGCAATATCGTACCGAGTGTCCGGGATTACGTGTCCTTCGAACACACGCTCAGTTTCTATCCTATTAAAGGATCGAGAGTTCATCTATCTAAGTTCGTGTATCTATGTCATTGTCGGCATAAGAAGATTAAATTCAATAGAAAGACATTTGGAAACTGCCAAATTTTCGCACGAAATCCGCGTTCACGCGGGCGCGAATTCTCATGAATATTTTAAACCGTAGTTTTTGTCATAGTCGTGCCTCGTAACGATACGTCATTATTATCGTTGCTCGCGGGTAATTGCGCGCTATAATTATCATATATCGCGTAAATTAAAAACGTCGATAAAACGTACCCGGCGGCATGAATCTCGCGTATTCATTGACGGTTGGGCGAGCCAAGAGGGCGATTTTTTATTAGTGCGGTAATGTATGTATATAGAATACTTACAACGCATGTCCACGCGAACTGATGACGACAGCGGAATCGACCTATTGTTGTTCGTGGCGTTGCAGGTCAGCACCGAATGAACGTCGTCCCGGCTTAAGTTCTGTACAACGATCTCGCTGCGTGTCACACCGCTGTTTGGCGTTGTGGTCCGATTGGTGATGAATCTGTCGTTGCGATACCAAGACACCATTGGGGCCGGTTTACCTACGAAAACAGGTTGATTTTGTTAATTGAAAAAATATTAAGTGATGTCGGAGCGATGGTCAAACTTGATCTATATCGGCAAAATGGATTCTTAATTCCAAATCAAACGTATATTAAGTAAAATATTAAATAAAACGTTACAAACATTTCTTGCTCTGATATATAGGATTATATTCTGTATATTGCATGAAATATAGATGGTGTACATTCAGATCGTGATTTCTCCATTCACTTCTCTTGTAAGCTTCAAAATCATAATTTAAAGATCTTATTACATAATCTTATAAATTATTCACATAAATATGGGAAAACTACTTTTTGTTTGGATATATATATTTGAAATCATTCATATGCGTGAAGAAATAACATACGTGATAACAGGAAATTATAATTTACAATTTTTTCTTTATTTTTCATACAGGTTTGTATTTTCCCATAGTTATTTGCGTTTTTTCTTTTATTCTGGAAAAGGATTTTTTTATTCCATATAAGAAAAATGAAGAAAATGGAAAAGTATGAAGTGCGCATTTCGTCGGCTTTACAGACGATTCCAGTATCCCCTTAACCCCGATATATCGGCGAAACGCGATGCTTCGCATCCGCGAAAACCTTTGCGGAGCAAATGCGGGTAGAGATGTCTAACGGAGAGTCGATGATTTCGCTCGTTCGACAGAATCGTAACTACCGCGACGCATAAATTTAATGGTACAAGCATCGAGTACCACTCGAGACTTCATTCAAAAGCACGATAATAATGAAGGGTAATAATTACAGGCTATAATTAGCGAAGAGAGTTAACATCGCGCAAATGGAATCGGTCTTTCGTTATAAACTAGCGCAATAGTGTCATTTAACAATCAATTCCAATATTATCGTCGCGCCGATCACAGGCATAAACACTCGAATTATTTATCGCAACTATACCGTATTATACAATGTATCTGTATAATTACTTAATGTAACATAATTTGAATAATGCGTAATCGATGAAAACTATATATACAACAAGTTAACAAAGATTAGTAATTAATATTATTGAAGATACTCTAATGTTTAGCTTAATTAATAGATTAGCCTTTTTGCAATTTAAACTATTCACTTTTTTATTATTTTTATTTTATATATTTAGTTCTAACTTTCTTTTATTTTGTTGATCAACTATGTATTGCTATCAATGCTTAAGAGGATCTGATCCTAAAGCGCTTAACGTGTTAAGTGCCACCGGTGATCCACGCTGGACTTTCTGTTTAGACTGATTGATATTTTGACTATAAAAAAAAATCATTATAAAATAATTTTTATACATATCTAATTATGATATATGTTGCAATATTGATACATTAGAATAATCCTCCTTTGTAATAAGAATTTTTGTAATTCTTTAAGTCATTATATTATATATAATCATATAAAATATGTTATTTAACAAATATAATAAATTCAAATAAAAATATCGTGGGTCATCTACGATATTCTTGTTTGCATTTGAGTGACCCATCACTCGGTGATGAGTGATGATTAAGATACTCTTAAAATTGATTAGACATGGAACACATTAATAAATAACGATATCTGTTTATCTATCTAGCTTTTTATTTATCTAGCTTTGATTTTGTAGAATAATAATAAAATATTTTAGAAAGATTATTTATTTAATTTATAATAAATAATTTTGGAATTATTAAATAATCTTACAAATATACAAATTGATAGAAACAAAGCCATTAATGGCAGCATGAAAATCTTATAATAATGCTGCAAAATATCATGTTGGTAATATTAATCATTGATTATAAATATAAATATAAACGTTGTAGTTATGCATTGTATAAATACTATTAATATATATATATACAAATATGCACCAACGTTTTGTAGCATGAGAATATTTATTCGCATAATATTATTATTCATAATTAATAGCTATCATTTATAGAATAAATAGATGGATGTTAATACATGTAATTAATATATATTATATTTGTAACATATTCCAAGAGATCTTATAAGTTAATTAACAAGTAACACAACGGAATAATACAACGCCAGAATAATTAAGTCAAAAGTGACAATAATAATTATTGCAATATTGCTTTAACACAAATATCATAACCTTCATTTATATATTTATTTACATGTAGGAATAAATTTGCACAGATTACTAAAAAAAAAAGGAAAAAAAAATGTCTCAACCGTATACAGTAGAATGTCCTTCTATATCTCACTTTTTTTGTCAGTCCACTGGAGGACATAAAACCCGCATTGCGGGACAAAACTTCATATAGTTTTTTCGAGGATTTCGCAAAAAGGATTTCGTCGTTACATACTTGTTTAGATTTGTGAAACTCACCGCCATGGACGTCGCAAAAGAGCCTTAAGTTAGCGCCTTCCATATACGGTCCGACCATCGTGTCCCGTCTGTTCTCGTTTTCGTCGACAATCGTGATCTTGCGCGGTGGTACTGGAAAACGAATAGAAATGTCAATATAGTTAACGCTGAGGAATATTCATGATACACGTGAGGGGGAAGCTACCCCGATCGCGAGTCGCCATGTACGACGGGGGTTGTCCCGGGCGGCGCGCGACTCGGCAGCACGTCACGAAAAGTCCGATAACACGAAATTGGTATTGGAAGATCGTGCCTGAGATATCGCGACGGCATTAAATTGAAATCTGAAATCGATATCGGGGCGCCGCGAGAGTCCGCGATGTATAGTATTGTATATTTCTGACGGACGTCTGGATGATGCGTTCGCGCGCGCTTCTGTTCTTTACCGGTAGAAGCTGGGGATTGTCGTGATATCAGATATCGGACAAACGTGAAGTTTGCCGGCGAGCGGAACTTAAAATAATAAGAACGGGGGTCATGGGGAAACTAGCGTTTTTATCGTTTCCCTTCAAGCGCGTGCGACATTTTTTTAATTCTCTTACGTAAATTAGCTTATTCGCGAGGAACTCCATTCGACCTTACCGTGGATGCTCGCGGAAAAATCAGATTGCAATGCTCGGGACATTTGTAAAAGGAGAGCCACTCCGGCAGACGGAATTCCCGGGCGATGTAATTGGAAAATTACAATCGCAAAAATCACGACGGAAGGCCGCATTCAAGAACGCCACCTCGTTCTAGCTTATTTTTCTTCCTGGCGGCCTTCTCTCGCCGCATAAAGAATTATTTTGGTGCTGCACTTGGAGTGGAATGGCGTTTTATTCTTATTGCAATCTTCTTTCATGGTGCATCAAGCGCGACAGTCGGGAGCTTTTGAAATCAAAAGCAACTGGTAAAATACAGTCGCCTCCCTTCAGCTTACATCAAATGTACTCGTATTATTACTACAATCAAGAGAAGAAATGATCAGTAAATATCAGATTTTTCTCTTAATATTATCTTCTATAATTCTAATTTCAAATTTTTTATATATTATATGTGTTAACCTCGTTATCGAACCTTTTTGATTGTAATATTCAATTGTGAAACTAGCGACTTTTAAGTAAGATTCTAGAAATATGAGACAAATATAGCGATAATATTTGATTGTATTGCAGATTCGTATACAAAAAAAAAAAAACAAAAAGTATTAAAAAATTTAACTAGTCATAAATCTGAAAATAATTTTCAGACCATCCAAATAATTTCATAGGAATCTCAAACGAGCAATATTGTAAAAAGTTTTGACATTCTGACAACCAGTTTGATCGTCCAACAAATTTATTTTCAAATCTGTATCTAGCTAAATTTTTAGATACATTGTTAGAAATAACCACGAGCTTCCTTTATACGTATATAAAGTTTGTGATTTTAGACGAAATTTAAAGTAATGAATGATTGAACTGAAAATTAAGTTACAGTAGTTACTTAAATGTAATGAACGTATACATTAAATTTCATAAATTTTCATGAAAAATACATGAAATTTCATGTAATGTCATGAAATTAACTTCAATTTATATAACTTAAAACTATATTAAATTTCATGAAATTTTTAACAGTGTATTTCAATAAAATCGTTCTTTCCGTACGAACTTATCTAAGTTTTACATGATATACTCTGTATATTCTGTAATAGATATAACATTTCCGCCATATTTGTCTTGTGAATAGACTATGTGTGACCAGATTCTTTTGAAGGTCTCGAAATAAAATAAATATACTTGACTTCACGAACGTGAAAAGTGTTTTAAAAATATTTTTAGTTAAAATATCATTGTGCAAAGACACCTCTCCTTCCTTCCTCTGTCTCACTCCCTCCTTTCCTCGAGGACATTTCCTTTCTTCTCGGTCTCTCTGTAATCCTGACAAATGGTATGCGGGGAAGCATCATTTATCGGTATTAGTCTTTGTAGTATTTGCAGTATCATAGTCCGTTCGTGTAATACGTTAGGTATCTCGATTGCCTCTCTGCCGCCATAAGGAGAAGGTACGTGATGTACTCGCATCTTCGCTCGCGTCGATGCTCGGGTCTCGGTATATTCGCGACCTCTTTTTAAAGGCGCGATCCCTCCGTAAGGACGCAGTAGTCTAGCGGCGCAATAGCGCGGCACGCCATTAATCCGCGACAGGTCTGACAGTGGCGCACCTGCACTACCACCGTTATTTATTTCCGCGGAAACTGCCGCGGCTGCTCTATACTGACGAGAATTATCGTGCTTTAATGAAACCGATCCCTCCGGTAAAACTCAATTTATTATCCGACTCCGGGCGCGCGCTTTCACGTCCGACTTCGCGTCGGCCACTTTCTTTCCTCTAATTATCCACCGCGTTTAGTTAAAAGCTAAAGTTCGCGCGCACGCGCTTTCAACCCCCGCCCCCCTCCCCCCTCCCCCCTCACCGCATGAGATCATTCCGCTGCGCAATCATTTTTCATACATCCCATTTTACCCGCGGGAATACGTTTCTTCTTAAGTAAAGCGAGGTCCCGTTTCGGTCCGACGGTAACTGACGATGATTAAATTTGTTCCTCTCGTTAGCGACCGTGATTAACGTAAAAATAGATCTCGCATTCGTAGCTCGGCGGCCCGGAACGATTAACGTGCGCAATGTTGCGCCATTAATATTCCCCTCTCTCCCTTTTTCAATTACTAAGGCGCGACATAACTTTCTTAGAATTATGAACGCCAGCAGATATTTACGGTTACGACGATACAGCGTAGTCCCCAGGAAATATCTATATAACTCTGGGAAAATGTCGCGCAAAAAGAAATTGATTTCGCATTAAGCTTTATCATTTTCGTAATAAAATATGGTATTCTTATGACATTCTAAATAACGAACTTATCTCTGTGTCTCACAAAATACAGGTTGCATTATACGCCTTAAGTCTCGATCGACTTATTTGAGACTGAAACGTGCTTCGCACACTTTGTGGTCGACTATGTTGCACACAGTTAATGCAAAGCTCAGAGCCGATTATACGAGAAATTTTCCATAAAGTATCAATATGCGCTGCAGTTGTTATAACAAAGTGTATGAACCAAGTAGGATTTTGGATTTGAGTTTTGAATGCAAACTCTGGTTCTTTGACGTTTCGATGCATAATAAAGGTCTTTCATATAGTATTAAGATTTGACTTTCACAAGCGTCGTTCTCTGATATTTCCATACATAAATTTTTGTAGAAAATTCTACCTTCCAAATAACCGTTAATTGAAACGTATAATTGAACGAGAGACTAATTACGGTACATTGTGTAGATTTTCTTTTTTTTTCTTTCAAACGTCAAACTACGTTATTTGTTTTTAATTTATTTGTAATTTTATTATTATTCTTTATTATCAGGATTTTTTTTCAGTACGTTTTTTTTTTTTCAAAATCATCCTTTCGCAATTCACAATTCAGTTTCCATCCGACAATTTTTCTTGCTCGCACATACAGCGGTTGATTAGCACGCGCATTTCGCGAAATCGAGCATACTTGACCATCAGTGCGGATTGGTCAGATTTATTGTTTATAAAGGCTCTTGATTTCGGGAACATCATCAGCATCGAGAGCGCGGCATCGGCGCGGCCAGGCACGGGAAGTCCGAAACTGTTTTTCGTGATTAATGCTGCCGAGGGTGGGCGACGTGGGGAAAAAGGGGTATTAACGGACGGCCGAGCCATCGGGTGGTAATTGTCGTGCCCGCAGTTACGCTGGTTAATTTGAGCCGCCAAAAAGTTACTTCCGCCTTTTGCTCCCGCCGTGACCATAAAAAAAATTTTACTGCGGTTCGCGTGTTGCTACCGTGCAAATGAAGCCGTATCGGTGTGCTAACGGCAACCGAGCGTGCCATAACAACGTGCGGGATTTGATTTCGGACTCGAACTTTACGTTACCGTCGCGCACGAAGTTTCGCTCTGATAAACCAATGTTTCGGTGAAATAAAACACCGCGGCCGCGCTACAAAGAGCTTAAATCGAAATCGCATGCCGCAAACGGACATTCGTCGAAACTGCATAATAGTTTATTTTTTTTTTTTTGCCAATTCCGCAAGAAGAGAATTTCAGAAAATAACAGCGTTACGACCTTAACCGTTCGATTATTCGCGAGCGAAAAAACTTAATTCTCTGATTGTAATTAAGTGGACGTAAAAAAAAAAAATATGATACGCGATCGAAAATGATAACGTAATACCTCGATCCTTATGAATAATCTACATAACTATGAATATATTTTTGGCTTCATCGCGCAAAGCTTTGATTACATATTTCTATCGAAATCAACTTAACGAACCGTTTTTATTCTCAAATTACGATCGCAATTTCGCTTTTGTCATCGCATTTACTTTGGCCGCCAGGCCATCGATATGCATAGTATGCAACACAGCCCGATGAAGTGCAGTCACAACGATTTTTTAATTTTCGATGCGTGACAACAGACCGATTAGACTGCTATTTATATAAACTGCATCACGGAGAACGTGTAAAATTGCACCCGTGATTGAAAAATATTTTAGCAGGAAATACACAGAGATATTCATGGACGAAAGTATGCTTTTTATTCATAAAGCGGCGGTGGCTGCGACAAAATAAAGCGTCTGCCGACGTCGCGTAAAAAATAAAATTGGGTCGGTATACGCGCGCTCACGCACACTGGCGGCACAGAGGGTAGGATACATAAATTCTAAAAGGGGCGGCCGTTTCGATTTTCGTCAATGCTCAGCCGATGAATAGGGTGATCCGATTCGTTTTGCGAGTGTGTTCCGCTTTGGCGAACGCTTCACTTTTGTCGCTTGCGCACCGTCTATATATTCTATACGCGCCCATCACTCGCTCTTTTTCCACACGTGCCGAATCAAAACACGTTCGTTTATTCTGAAATTGAGAGTGAGAACATCACAAAGATCTGTCATTTAGCACGACGCACTTGCGGCTGTTGGCAAGAGCGTCGCGAGTAATGTATTGGCTGTCACTTGAAAAGTAATGTCGCGAT